TCAAAAAGACACTGATTATACGGTGAAATAATTACAAGAATCTCGCACGCAATTAGTGACAGTTTATGGTCAGCATTTTAATCTGTCCATAATCATCTCAGTTGAAAGTTTAAGTATTTAAACAGATTTCGATTTTAATCCCCAGATTTAAATACTCTTTGAAATTGAAGGTGTTTTACTTGTTATTTTTGGCTGTACATGTTAATCATCTTGTAGAAGTACGTCAGACAACCTAGTACAAGGAATAACTCACTAAGTTGTTGTGACAGTGCCCACCTTGACCTGAGTCACGTCTGTGGTTTTGGAAATATATTGATCTATGGCATGTCCCTGGTATCATAACAAGGGCATGTAGAATTATAATACAACTTGTTTGACCTTGATAGCTAATATACAGCTGTTAAGCTTGTAATTATGATACACAGATTAAAATTAAAGTATACTGAATTTGATATTGAGGACTACTTTACATCTACATAAGCTTTTAATTATAATATACAGCAGTAATTTTCCTCAAGTGTTTAATTCATCTAAAAAGTAACACTTATATGTCATGCTGAAATTTGATGTTTGAATCCTACTGAATTAACCTGCTACCTTTATATGTTAAAGTTCATGGTCAGTTTCCACCTATCAACCCTCCCTATTTCACAGGTGTCTCCCTGACCTGTCAGCCCTCCCTGTATTACAGGTGTTACCCTGACCTGTGAACCCTCCCTGGTTTACATGTGTCTCCCTGACCTGTCAGCCCTCCCTGTATTACAGGTGTTACCCTGACCTGTGAACCCTCCCTGTTTTACAGGTGTTAACCTGACCCGTCAACCCTTCCTGGTTTACAGGTGTCTCCCTGACATGTCATTCCTCCCTGTTTTACAAGTGTCTCCCTGGCCTCTCAACTGTCCCTTTTTTACAAGTGTCTCCCTGGCCTCTCAACTGTCCCTATTTTACAAGTGTCTTCCTGACCTCTCAACTGTCCCTGCGTTACATGTGTCCCCCTGACTTGTCAACCCTCCCTGATTTACAGACATTTCTCAGAACTGTCATTCCTTCTGGTGTGTCTAATTGTTACCAATTGTCACTCTTGGATTCACTTTCTAGCAAAATTGAATTTGAATAAGAGCAATTCATAGAACAGCTCAAATAAACCTATTTATTTGGTTTTGAAGCCAATGTCTGGTAAGAAGTCCACCCATGTATGTACATCAGTGCAGTAAAAATGCTAAAGGAATTGTCATTTTCTTACAATAAGCCCAACAGTAACTGCTCATATGTTGGTCTGCTGGGCTTATTACTAGATAAATACAGTAAGTAGTGTTTTATCACATAGGCGTTTATCTATATATATATGTATTTTTCTTTTGTAGCAAAAATATATTTAGCTACATATTTCCTTGTTTATTTCAAATTTGAAAAGTAGAGAGAATCTGGTATGACATTATATGAGGATTTTTGGATGGTATTAAGTAGAATTTAGAATTTAACTTAGTTCGTTCAATATATTGTAAAAATTTGTGTCCATCTTGTCATACTTTATCTTATCCAGGCTCCATCTCCTACACTACTTGTCACTTGAACTTCACACTTGAGTGATGGATAGAGATAAGTGATGCAGTGTGTCATTACAAAAAGTAGGTTACTATGACCTACATTTTCACCATGTTGTCCGGGGTTCATCTCCTACACTATTTGTCTCTGAAACTTCATACTTGAGTGATGGGTAGATGTAGGTAAGGTTGTGTCACATGTTTAGAATGTAGGTAACTTTGCCCTTCATTTTTACTTTTTACCTACATTAAAAAAAAAATTGTGCAGACTCCATCTCTGAAACTAGTTGTCACTGGATTTGCATACTTGTATAAGGACATAGGATCACTTTGGTGAGGTATTTAGTTATATCAAATTTTGGTCATTCTGACCTATATTGTGACCTTTGACCTGCATCAAAGAACAAGTTTGGGCAGTTTCCATCTCTTACAGTACTTGTCATTAAAACTTTTGGCATAGTTTAACTCAGGTGAGACAATGCGTCATGTACCATATGTTGTCATTGTGACCTACATTTTGTTTTTGACTTTCTTTTAATTTAATGAGGTAACTCATGTGTTGGCTTCCCTTTGTTGAAGGCTACTTGTATTAGCTTGTTACCTCTGTGGTGACTATAGGTTATCACAATATGCTAATTCTGTTTTATATACTACAGGAGCGAATGGGTCAGCATAACTTTAGGTATCACGCTTGAGTACCGGAACTACTAATGTTTGGATATGGTTTTAATATTAACAGACTTGACATGATTATAAAAGGATCTCACAGTTTGGTGGGAATGATCTGTTGGTCGTAAATCTCCTGTGGCCCAGTATCTAAATAGACTGAAGAGTGCTAGACACATATTTGTACAGACCCTATAAGACAGTGAGGGTGAATGATTTGAACAGAGTAAACAGAGGTGGGTTGATGTGACAACCAGCCAATTCAGTAACTTACCACACTTGATCTATGCTCCACTGTCAACTACCATGTCACTTGTATTTAGGAGGAAATGTAAAAAAAAAAAAAAAGAAAACAATAAGTAAATTTTTGAAAACATTTTCAAGAAAGAAAATCATGAGTACATTATTTTTTTATGAAAGATTGCAGGACCAGAATGTGGTCTGTGTTATGTCACAGACATTTTGTCATTTCTTTTCATACTCCAACTCCTGTTTTTTTTTTGGAAGAGGTTTATTGATAAAGAGTGTTTGTGACTTAATTGGATACTTGTCCTGTTCTGTCATTAAGCTGATAACTTACATTTGTCTTATTTGTATTCTTTAACACGATTTGTTTCAGTACACGTGTACCGCATCATGTCTAATTCTAGAACAGGCCTGGTCAATTTCAATATCAATGTACTTTTCAAACTGAAGACAATTTTCAGCTAGAAATCCTGTGCTTTACACTTAGCATGGAGGATGTAAATTCACCACAATTACTTCTCCTAAGTTAGTACTCTTCAACTGATGGATGGCACTCTTTAGGAATGTATTTAAGATACAGTGTGTATAATGGTATAGATAGTTGATAAACATTTGCTGTAGCTTTAGCTATCATAATCTAGGAACATTTATTGTTATGATAGACATCATGATCTAGGAACATTTACTGTAGTTATAGCCATCATAACAGACATCATGATTTAGGAACATTTACTGTTATGATAGACATCATGATTTAGGAACATTTACTGTTATGATAGACATCATGATCTAGGAACATTTACTGTTATGATAGACATCATGATTTAGGAACATTTACTGTTATGATAGACATCATGATCTAGGAACATTTACTGTTATGATAGACATCATGATTAGGAACATTTACTGTGGTTATAGCCATCATAACAGACATCATGATCTAGGAACATTTACTGTTATGATAGACATCATGATTTAGGAACATTTACTGTTATGATAGACATCATGATAGCCTGTAGTTATAGCCATCATAACAGACATCATGATCTAGGAACATTTACTGTTATGATAGACATCATGATCTAGGAACATTTACTGTGGTTATAGCCATCATAACAGACATCATGATTTAGGAACATTTACTGTTATGATAGACATCATGATCTAGGAACATTTACTGTAGTTATAGCCATCATAACAGACATCATGATCTAGGAACATTTACTGTTATGATAGACATCATGATCTAGGAACATTTACTGTTATGATAGACATCATGATCTAGGAACATTTACTGTAGTTATAGCCATCATAACAGACATCATGATCTAGGAACATTTACTGTTATGATAGACATCATGATTTAGGAACATTTACTGTTATGATAGACATCATGATCTAGGAACATTTACTGTTATGATAGACATCATGATCTAGGAACATTTACTGTTATGATAGACATCATGATCTAGGAACATTTACTGTTATGATAGACATCATGATTTAGGAACATTTACTGTTATGATAGACATCATGATCTAGGAACATTTACTGTTATGATAGACATCATGTTTTAGGAACATTTACTGTTATGATAGACATCATGTTTTAGGAACATTTACTGTTATGATAGACATCATGATCTAGGAACATTTACTGTTATGATAGACATCATGATCTAGGAACATTTACTGTGGTTATAGCCATCATAACAGACATCATGATCTAGGAACATTTACTGTTATGATAGACATCATGATTTAGGAACATTTACTGTTATGATAGACATCATGATCTAGGAACATTTACTGTTATGATAGACATCATGATCTAGGAACATTTACTGTTATGATAGACATCATGATCTAGGAACATTTACTGTTATGATAGACATCATGTTTTAGGAACATTTACTGTTATGATAGACATCATGATCTAGGAACATTTACTGTTATGATAGACATCATGATTTAGGAACATTTACTGTTATGATAGACATCATGATCTAGGAACATTTACTGTTATGATAGACATCATGATCTAGGAACATTTACTGTTATGATAGACATCATGATCTAGGAACATTTACTGTTATGATAGACATCATGTTTTAGGAACATTTACTGTTATGATAGACATCATGTTTTAGGAACATTTACTGTTATGATAGACATCATGTTTTAGGAACATTTACTGTTATGATAGACATCATGATCTAGGAACATTTACTGTTATGATAGACATCATGATCTAGGAACATTTACTGTTATGATAGACATCATGATTTAGGAACATTTACTGTGGTTATAGCCATCATAACAGACATCATGATTTAGGAACATTTACTGTTATGATTGACATCATGTTTTAGGAACATTTACTGTTATGATAGACATCATGTTTTAGGAACATTTACTGTACAGAAGAGTTTGATTGATTCCTTGTATAGTTCACTGTTTAATGAAGCTGATTGATGTCAATATAAGTGTAAATGCTTGTGCCATCAATGTCTTGATATGTGGCCTTCTTTATATTATAGCGCCAAATCCTAATCTGGTCGAAGGAACAGAGATAATCGGACATGCACTGTAGCATGTGGGAGATAGCGTGTACCTGCCGCTCAGTACAGGTTGGTGAACATGTGTATTTGAGATAGATTCACCTTGAACTAAGATTAGGCAATGGTCAACACAGATAAATGTTTCCAGCTTAAAAAACACTGAAATGTGATCTGAGGTTTTGACCTTATCACTATAGCTATCAGCCAGTGATTGTTACATGTTTGGAAACATTAACACTGGAACAAAACAGTGTGTTTATCAACAAAAATCTCGTGCAGAAATTCCAATTGGCTGTGTCTAATTTATATAAATTTAAATACCGTTTTAAGTATCTGTTAGCATTGATATTGTGCGTCATTCATTCAGAGAAAAAACTTAATACGATGGAGTACTAAGATGAGATTTTGAGAGTGATCAGAAGATACTAACTTGTTGGGAGTGTAACTAGATCCACTCTAACCCCTCAGTGACATACACCCTACCTCAATACAGGGGACCAACATAGCTCTGTACTGTTAACAGGTGATGATGAATTGTGACACCATTGTGTTGATTGTGTCAATGTACATTGCTACAAACCAGTCTTACACAGTCCTCTAAGTCTCGTAGGCTATGTTATCTGCAATAATGTATTAATTTAAATGTTTGAACTGATTGCACTATTATAACAAAAGCCCAGGTGAGGATTCTGTTTGTTTAAACAGTAAATATTCCATGTTTTACATTATGATATAGGAAACTGTGTTTAACCTCTACTTGTCCGTCATTATATTTCATGAAAAAAATATATTTCAGAATGTTATTTTTTTTACATGTAGTTGTTTCATACCTCTTTGACCTTGACCAATGAACTTCACTACACCTGTTAAACCTAAAATACGAACACTTTTTGTGGACATCTTAGCCATTGAAGACAACAATCCCTTTATATAGATATCTTGACCAGTGTATATGAAAATCTTTTCCATGATGGACATCTTGGCTATTGCAGGTGACAATCTTAACCTCTATGGCTATGTTCCAGTGTAGGTGACGATCTTAACCTCTTTGGCTTTATACCAGTGTATGTGACAATCTTAACCTCTTTGGCTTTATACCAATGTATGTGACAATCTTAACCTCTTTGGCTTTATACCAATGTATGTGACAATCTTAACCTCTTTGGCTTTATACCAATGTAGGTGACAATCTTAACCTCTATGGCTTTATACCAGTGTAGGTGACAAACTTAACCTCTATGGCTTTATACCAATGTATGTGACAATCTTAACCTCTATGGCTTTATACCAGTGTAGGTGACAATCTTAACCTCTATGGCTTTAGACCAGTGTAAGTGACAATCTTAACCTCTATGGCTATGTACCAGTGTAGGTGACAATCTTAACCTCTATGGCTTTATACCAGTGTAGGTGACAAACTTAACCTCTATGGCTTTATACCAGTGTAGGTGACGATCTTAACCTCTTTGGCTTTATACCAGTGTATGTGACAATCTTAACCTCTATGGCTTTATACCAGTGTAGGTGACAATCTTAACCTCTATGGCTTTATACCAGTGTATGTGACAATCTTAACCTTTATGGCTTTATACCAATGTAGGTGACAATCTTAACCTCTATGGCTATGTACCAGTGTATGTGACAATCTTAACCTCTATGGCTTTATACCAGTGTAGGTGACGATCTTAACCTCTATGGCTTTATACCAATGTAGGTGACAATCTTAACCTCTATGGCTTTATACCAATGTAGGTGACAATCTTAACCTCTATGGCTTTATACCAATGTAGGTGACAATCTTAACCTCTATGGCTTTATACCAATGTAGGTGACAATCTAAACCTCTATGGCTTTATACCAATGTAGGTGACAATCTTAACCTCTATGGCTATGTACCAGTGTAGGTAACAAGTTTAGGTGACAATCTCTACCTCTATGCTTTATACCAATGTAGGTGACAATCTAAACCTCTATGGCTTTATACCAATGTAGGTGACAATCTTAACCTCTATGGCTATGTACCAGTGTAGGTAACAAGTTTAGGTGACAATCTCTACCTCTATGGACCTCTTGGCCAGTGTAGGTGACAATCTGTACCCCTGTTAACATTGTGGCCAGTGTAAGTAACAATCTACCTCTGTGGATCTCTTGGCCAGTGTAGGTTACAATCTACCTCTATGGACCTCTTGGCCAGTGTATGTGACAATCTGTACCCCTGTTAACATTGTGGCCAGTGTAAGTAACAAACTCTGTGGATATTTTGACCAGTGTAACTGATAATCCTTTTTTCTGTTGATATCTTTATCAGTGTACATGGCAACACCTCACACACATCACTAGGTTCACTACTAGTGCTGTCCTTCCACGGGATAATTTCCAATAAGGACTGAAAGTGATATCCCTCTTTAGTAAGGTATCACTAGTCACTAATTCATATCCATTTCCCGATATAGGCAGTAACACTTGACAGGGGACACTAGCAACAGACTGGCTGGGACAGTGCTTATAATGCAGACTGGCAGGCATCAATGTTTAAATGGAAACTGGCTGGCATTAGTATTATTACAGAGGCTGGCAGACATCAGTGCTATTTCACATGCTGGCAGGCATCAGTACTATTTCACATGCTGGCAGGCATCAGTACTATTTCACATGCTGGCAGGCATCAGTACTATTTCACATGCAGCCAGGCATCAGTACTATTTCACATGCTGGCAGGCATCAGTACTATTTCACATGCTAGCAGGCATCAGTACTATTTCACATGCAGCCAGGCATCAGTACTATTTCACATGCTGGCTGGCATCAGCACTATATCACATGCTGGCTGGCATCAGCACTATTTCACATGCAGCCAGGCATCAGTACTATTTCACATGCTGGCAGGCATCAATACTATTTCACATGCTGGCAGGCATCAGCACTAAATCACATGCTGGCTGGCATCAGCACTATATCACATGCTGGCTGGCATCAGCACTATTTCACATGCAGCCAGGCATCAGTACTATTTCACATGCTGGCAGGCATCAGTACTATTTCACATGCTAGCAGACATCAGTACTATTTCACATGCTAGCAGACATCAGTATCATGACATAAGTTCACTAGGACATAACATTATCACTGGAGGTCAGTCGAAGTTTTATGAAGTCTAGACTTTACCATACCTTTGTTCCCTAATGTTAAATAATCATATATAAAGCATAGAGATTCAATGAGATGTCAAAGTGACTTTTACTTTTTATGTACCTTAGGGGAGAACACTATAGTATTTTATGTCTTTCTACCCAACGTGTCTGGCTAGTGACTTATCAGATGTGTCATCACATTGGTGTTATTTCTGTCTGCTCTTCTCGTCATTTTTCCATTATCTAACATCAAGAATCAAACTTTCTTTCTTAAATGACTTCTGATTTTCAAAAACAAGACGTGGGGTTGATGATATCTGGAGAGCAGCTTGCTTGAATTGTGAGTTTATTCATGGGAATGACCTTGACTTACTGACCTTTATGGTCAACCAGTATCAAAACTGTTGGATATTGGATAGATTCAATAAAATATTCTTTTCTCTTTTGTTTTATGTTTTACTTTACAAATGTGCCTGTCTAGTCAGAGAAAGTACATGTATATTGGACAGATATTGGTGGATACAGGGAGATTATCAATAGTCCCTCTGAGAAACAGATAACACACAAATACAGACTGAAGTAACATAAGGTTTCATCTGATACTGTATAATTGTTCAATTTCTAATAGCTGATATTTTGTTGTTCTATTTTGTGTTAATTCATATATTGATTGAATTTCATGTTGTCCTAAATGAAAGGAAATATAACTTTTAACGGTGGGTGTTTTCTGTCGTATTAAATATTAAAACTTACTCTGGTACCCGACTGCTGTATAGACCAAATATGATGGTAAACTTTTTATTGAGCATCACAGTATTCCTGAACAGTAGATATAGGTCCCCTACTGGAAACTGGGGGCAACTAGAGATTTGCATGGTGTCTGTCTGTCTGTCTGTCTGTCTGTCTGTCCATCCTGACTTTTCTTCTATTATTCCATCCTGACTTTTCTTCTATTATTCCATCCTGACTTTTCCTATCTTGTCAAGGCTCTATTTTGTACACTACATCTCAATGGTATACTTGGGCTGTGGGTTTACCTTGATGAGATGGTGTGTCATTTATCAAAAGTAGGTCACTCTGACCAACATTTAGACCTTGACCTACATCAAAAAATTGTTGAGGTTCTGTCTCCTACACTACTAGTCACTGGAACGTCATACTGGTGGTACAAGTTCAACTTGATTAGGCAATGTGGCACTCTGACCTATATTTTGACCTTTGACCAATATCATATAAAAATTTGTCAAGGTTGTATCTCCTATGCTACTTGTCACTAGAACTTTATACTTGAGGTATGGCTTCACCTTGATGAGACATGTTGGTTAGGGAATGTAATTCACCAAATTGTCTTGTGTTGTTATTAATGAAGAATGATTTTATGTTTCAAGCCTTTAGTATGATGGGAACCACTGCCTTGTTGCCAGAAGCTGGTAGGACTTCAAAAATTTTTTCAGGTAGGGATCCTTGAAATCTAATATTCCTTTATTAGTCAACTACATTTCCAGGCTCATTATTCTTAGGGTCTGTTGACAGGACATCATTATTCTACTTTACAATGATATATATACATGTATTTACAGTTTTAAGACATATGAAAATGTATTAAGTTTCCAAATATATTACAAGCATGAAAATGTATTTTTTATGCCTTTAATGAATGGCTTTTTTTCCTGTAAATATTTAACAGACATATCTAAGAAGGTATTTGACTGGTATGTGTGGTGAACCATTAATCATTGTTTTATTTTGTTAAGTGTATAACTGTTCTCTACCCTTATCACCAATCTTACACTTATCAGTCTGGAAGCAATGAAATTTGAGAATTATGAATTTAAATTCTGTACACAACGTATAAAAAACAATAAGTTTAAAACTGTGAAAACAGCATTTTCAAAATTCTCACCATATATATACACAACAATATCAGTAGATGTAGATATATGCTGAGAAAGAACAATAAATTTCTGATGAATACTAACAATAGATTAAATATTTTGTAAAACAATCAGACCTCCGTAGACATTGTCCTAGTCATCCAATGACGTTAACCATTCTGTATAGAACCAATTGTGTATTGTATTCAACAGGTAGATAGCGGAGAGATGCTTATAGTTTCCTGCCTCCGACAAATTGTCATCAGGACACAGAGCTGTAATACAATGATCCTGACGTATACAAGCCAGACCGCAGCCGTCAGGGTCAGGGGTCAGACTAGAAGTGGACTCTTGACCAGCACAGTCACAGAAATGAATTTATATGATGTTTTGATAGATATATTTGTGTTTATTTAGAGCGGGGCTACCTGTCTGTAGTTTGACATTATTGGTCCTTGTTACCAGACCATCCATAGAGAAAGGTGTGGGAAACATAGAATTAAAACCTTTATCCCTCTTTGAACATTGATAAGGAGAGCAATTGTGAAAACATCCTGTCCCACCTACAAGTGTTGATCTGTGGTGAGGAAATCTCAATCTTTCTAAGTCAACTGGGGTTGTATAGTCGGTGACATTGTGGTGTAGTACAATGAAAGTGTCCTGGAATGTTTGAGAATAGCCTGTTGTTTGGTGATGACCATACAGTTTTATTGTGTATTCCTTGACTTTGTTCTATTTATCCTAGAAGGATAAACACAGGTGCACAGGTTTCTGATGATATCAGAGAGTTAGAATGTGTTTTACATAATGTTGTCTTAATCCTACCTGGTAACTTTTTAACACCTTGTGTTTGTTGTATTCCCTTAAAAAACAACATATTTAATTGTTATTTTGTCTCGGTGTATTTTTTCCTCAATTATTTTCTTGTAAATTTTTCTGACATTCTTACAAGATATGGTTTGGTAGAGTACAGTATTTGAATCTGTTTGTATAACAATTTATTACCAAAGAAGTTTGGTTTGCTAACTCCCTTTAAAAAAAATGTTTAATTGATATTTTGTCTACAGTGTATTTAATTCTTCAATAATTTTCCTGTAAATTTTTCTTACAATTTTTCAATATATGACTGAGTATGGTGTTCAAGATTGTTTATTTAATAATTTATTACTTAACAAGAAACAGTTTTAGCAACAAGAAATATTGTTATACACCTGTTCCCTCCCACTTTGTACTGCCTCTACCTGTTTTCGGTGGATGTTAGAATAATTAATCCTAAACTGTTTCAAATCTTACTTACTGGATTGCTATTGTTACAATGCTTAGAAGGGAAGTGTAAATGTGTCCTCACATATCCGTCACTAAGTGACCTTAGTGAGGAGTGTGAATGTACTACTACATTTTACAGACACAAAGGAAGGATAAAATTGTACGATATATCTGAGATCTTTTCCTATGATTTTAAAGTTTAAATAGTGGGTGTCCCCAAAAACCTTTGAAGGAATCATTCCATCGGAAAACGTAAATTGATGAAATCATAAATCGGAATTGATAGAAATGCTTGTAGATACTCGACAATGAATTAAATGGATATCCATGGTAATGTAGCGGTGTTTGTTTAGGTGTTTCTACTTAAGCGACATACCAACCAAGATGTTGATATGCGACCTTAAATACCTTCACAAAACTTCATAGAATTCCAGTTGATATCAATCTCCCGAAGAAATTGATATAAATTTATGATTATTAAAAGCGAGAGTGGATAAAATTGAGATTTACAAGTTATGGTAATTTGTGGAGTTCAACACCTGAACTGCCCTAGATGACTTGACCTAGACTCTATATCATACAAGATGGTATCATTAGTCCTATATCTATTAAGGAGTGGGTCATGTCGTTATGGATTACTTCGATATTCCTACGAGAGGTATAAATGTATCAAGTTTGAATTAAATACTGGAAACTTTTTATTGTTGCAAGTAAATAGATTTAATCTAAAACACCTTTGCGGCTTTACTTTCCTTTGATAAAAAGAACACATACTTACTTGCGATGCCACTAGATGTTGAAAAGGTAGATTTATTACCAAGATAGCAACAAAATGGTTGGTTGGTGTCAATGAAAGGAAATTGTCACCTTCGAGACAAGGAATGGAGGTTGCTACAGAGAACCTAAAGAAGAGAATGTCTGGTGATAAAAGCATTACAGTGTATCTGAGATTATCAAGTGTATGTAGGGTGAGGGAGACCGAGGGGTAGATAAGCTTGTAATTTATGTTGGAGTAGGTGTGAAGGTGGATGTAGGTAATGTCAGGTAGATATTAGCCTTGTGCCTCTGACCAATGTCCACTTCTCTGTATAGTCTGTATACAACACAATTGTGATATAGTATCTCGTGAGGTTTTACAGTTGCTAGTTGAAAACCATTCATCTATTTTCTATTGGCTATTTGATGATATTGAGTCTTGTCCATCAGCAGTATGGTCTTAACTGTATAGGATATACACAGGTACTTATAGATTAATAGAGTTTTCATAAAGTTGGTGATGTATAGAAGGTTAAGTAACGAAGCATCATACCTGTGCATTGTACCTTTAGGTCGGATGGGGCACCTGTAAAGGTATCATAACTGGCCACAGGTATCATAACTGGTCACTTGGATAGGTAAGGTTGTACCTGTAGTTGGGTTAGGTTGGCTTTACAGGTGTCATTACAGGCTGTAAGGATAGGTAAGGTTGTACCTGTAGTTGGGTTAGGTTGGCTTTACAGGTGTCATTACAGGCTGTAAGGATAGGTAAGGTTGTACCTGTAGGTGGGTTAGGTTGGCTTTACAGGTGTCATTACAGGCTGTAAGGATAGGTAAGGTTGTACCTGTAGGTGGGTTAGGTTGGCTTTACAGGTGTCATTACAGGCTGTAAGGATAGGTAAGGTTGTACCTGTAGGTGGGTTAGGTTGGCTATACAGGTGTCATTACAGGCTGTAAGGATAGGTAAGGTTGTACCTGTAGGTGGGTTAGGTTGGCTATACAGGTGTCATTACAGGCTGTAAGGATAGGTAAGTTTGTACCTGTAGGTGGGTTAGGTTGGCTTTACAGGTGTCATTACAGGCTGTAAGGATAGGTAAGGTTGTACCTGTAGGTGGGTTAGGTTAGCTTTACAGGTGTCATTACAGGCTGTAAGGATAGGTAAGGTTGTACCTGTAGGTGGGTTAGGTTGGCTTTACAGATGTCATTACAGGCTGTAAGGATAGGTAAGGTTGTACCTGTAGGTGGGTTAGGTTGGCTATACAGGTGACATTACAGGCTGTAAGGATAGGTAAGGTTGTACCTGTAGGTGGGTTAGGTTGGCTATACAGGTGTCATTACAGGCTGTAAGGATTGGTAAGTTTGTACCTGTAGGTGGGTTAGGTTAGCTTTACAGGCGTCATTACTGGCCATTAGGGTAGGTAAGGTTGTACCTGTAGGTGAGTTAGGTTGGCTATACAGGTGTCATTACAGGCTGTAAGGATAGGTAAGGTTGTACCTGTATGTGGGTTAGGTTGGCTATACAGGTGTCATTACAAGCTGTAAGGGTAGGTAAGGTTGTACCTATAGGTGGGTTAGGTTGGCTATACAGTAACATCACTGCCCATTAGGGTAGGTAAGGTACCTATAGGTGAGTTAGGTTGACTATACAGGTGTCATTACTCGCCATTAGGGTAGGAGGGGAGAGAGGTGCTCAGGAAAATCCTGAGTCCATATAAATTTTGTTACATTTGTGTTATCGTAACCTTCAAATCTCTTCATGTTCAAAAACACTTCAAGTTGACCACTGGACTTTGAAAGCTGAAAGACAATAGGTCAAGAGGTGGTTAAGAGGAAGTGATGGGTAAGGGATGGGTAGTAATCTTGCTCAAGATAAATCCAACCGGCCACTTAAGGTTAGGTCAGGTGATAGGACAGGTAAACATTGATTACACTCCCACAATGTATTTACCTGAAGTGATTACTGGATAACAATGCCACTTTGAAAGTGATCAGTCCGACTGATAGACAGATTGATAGAGGGTACTATAAGAATGACAGGCGGTGATAAAATTGTCCTGAAACTCCTGTCTGTTGATAATATTATATCAGTTAAAGTGGTTGGTTAGTTCATATCCATGTCTTTTGTAGTAAGAACTTTCTGACCAGCAGTAATTTAGATCAGATTAATAATATTGTAATACTTTTCCCTTACTGCGGTTTATTTTTACAAAACAAAATCTGATCACTAGTTACAACATATAATGAGTAACAATTATAGAATAATTTAGTATGTTTCATCAAGTCAACCGCTGTGAGATTATTGTGATGCCAAAATCATGAAAGTTAGAACAAAAGAAAGTTTGTTAACAGTGCTTAAGTGTTAAGGTGATTTGTAATGGACATCATTTTTCATCGAATAAAACAATATAAAGGATTGAAGGCAGTTGTGGGATTGCACAACATTACAATATGTGCAGGATGTGTGCGGGATAGTAAAACTTGACAAAATAAACCATATCACATTTATGAACATGTTGTGTGGTTCTATCGCACAAATGTGCAATTTTATTGTGGTTGATCTAATTTTAGAAATGGCTTACAGATAAATGTAGGATAGGATTAATTTCTTTTCTTTTACAACTAAGTATGTTTTGTAATTATGACAGAGATATATACACTTTCTTATTTTTGTAGGTTGGACAGGTAAATCTATTAGATAGAGACTTAATAGATATATAATCTCGTTATTTAAAGTGTTTTGTTTACAAAGTGCCACACGTGACCAGCCTTCGTATACGACACTCATTATGTATACATTATATATGTGAACATTAAATGGATGTCTCTTTTTGTCCCCGTAATGAATCATCTAAAATCTTGGCCAGAATGGAATTTCATTTTAATTATTTCTGTATTACTCTCATTTTTCTGCCATTTTGTAAACAAAAAATTTATACTTATGTAGATCTTAAGTGTGTTTGTTACAAGGGCAACCTCTCACGTATATACATATACCTGTATACACTAATCAAATCTTCTGATCGATATTAAGTCATAATTACCTGAGTTTTCTGTTTAACTTTCAGTCTTTGATATTACAGAAGCGTTTTACCAAACCACACAAAATGTAGGATCCTGTGGCACAGTTGTGTGCACAAAACTGTAGTGTGTGTGTATGTGTGTGTGTGTTTGTGTGTGTGTGTGTGTGTGCGTGCGTGTGTGCGTGTGCATGATCTATGTACAACATTTTTGGTACATTTTGCATTATAACAGGCGTTTATGTATTACATGTCTTTGCATTATTTAATAAATATAGTTCTAGCTTCACGATGATAAGTTTGTAATTCATTCATGTGTACCTAGTAAATACATTTCTCCATAAACCACTGTGAAATATTCGTCTTCATTCCTTTTTACAATATACTGTACCTGTTATGATAAATACAATTGATTTATTATCTTACAAGTGCTTGATTGTTTAACCCACCCTAACTGAGAGTTAACAAGCAATATGCTTATTTTAAGTAAAAACAAGAAAGCTTTGAAAATCATGGGAAGACCACCAACAGATAGGTCTTGCTACAATTCTGTTGTGTACTGTGTGACTGGACTAAAGTAAAGTTCTTTGTTTGATGACGTCAGCTCTCAACAAGCTGCTATCGTAACATTTCTGGGAATTCTTTTGACACTTATCAAACATTGCCATTATACAAATGTCAAAACATGCAAAAAATATTTACTATTTCTCTTAAATACAATTCAAGAGTCAGACTATTCATACACAGTTTATTTGTGGTCAAGTTGCTTCAACGACAATTGTATTGTTCTCTGACAAACAAAGCCTTATCAATCATGGCTGTATACCAGCAAAAAAAAATCTGATGACATTTGAA